ACTGATCTACCAAGCCAAAATTTACTATCTTGTTGATTTTACCTCCCCAACAGACAATACTTTTTTTTTGTAAACAGTTTTTTATTGGGAAACATTTGGGTATGCCCTTCCCACTTCCAGAGTATGTCCATTCTAATCTTCCTGGAGTGGTTTATTTCTTTTTTTCTTCTTAGTGCCTTTGTTGACAGCCTCCTCTGATCCATTGCTGATGGGATCTTCCTTGGAAAGACAATACATTCTTCATGGTGTAAATGTTGTGTACCACTGAGTTGAAATCAACTGATGGTGGATCCTTCAGAAGCAGTGCCTAGCACAGGAGATTGTCTTTCTCCTACAGAGCCCCTGGTGGTTTTGAACTAGAGCCATTTATTTAATGGCTTACTTAGTTTTATTAAAATTTATTTCATTTTTAAGAAACTTTTTATTATTTGTTAATAGTTTATTTACCAAGGGAAACTATTCCTTAGGCCACATTATCATGGTTCAATGTTCAGAAACACAGATCAGTGACAACGTTCATGGAACTCAATCTAAAGAAAATTATTTACATGCCAGAATTATTTTGCTATCACGTAACAACAACAACAAAAAATACCAGATTTTCTCATCTCAAAATCCTTCACGAAATCATAATTTCTATAGAAATCCACATATGTCTTCTTTCTTGGTTCAGCTACGGCAAACTTTAGAAAGGTACAACGCTCAAGAGATAGAATGACTGTTCCCATCATATATGCATTCGCGGACACTTGGCCAGAAGGCCTTGAATCTGAGAGGTTTTGCCAAAGCAGTGAAGACATGATGGTTCTTCTCCCTAAACACCAAGTCCTTCCCGACCGGTGGAGAAACGAGTTTAAAGAGACTTTTTCTTTTTTTTAAAATTATACACCCCAGTAGTTCTTGTTAATCATGATCTCAGCTAGTAAATGTAGGTGGTTCAGGGAAGAGGAGGCTCTGGTGGCAGAATCCACAAATTGCTTTGCTAAGGCAAAGCAAGGCAAATGTTATGCCTCTTTGCATGATTGGAACCCACCCGCATTTCCGTGTGGCCTCTGTGAGGGTCAGTCTCGCGAAAACCCACGGGCACGTTCGCTGGGAGTCGGGTGCAACTGATGGCGGTGAGATTTTTATAATTCTGGGAAACCTGCTTAGTTCCTATTCCTACCAAGCCTTCTCCTCTTAGGCAAGTAAAAGACGGGCGTAGTAATCGCCGTTATAGACAAAAAAACCTCACTGCCTCGGAGGCGGTTCCGTCTCGGTGCGACCCTCCAGTGGTCCCGAGACTGTAAATCACTAGAGAGGACGCGAGGAGAGTCATTCTGCAAATTATGTAAACGACAAATCCGGATAGTTGTACGGAAAGAGCACAAATTCATTGCTTCTCCCTTAAAGATAAAAGGTATGTTCTGCCCTCGACGACTTTCGTTTTGTATTAGGAGTTCAGGGCTGCGGCTAGACGCTGGAAGGGTGAAGTCACTCACGAGTTCTGGAAAACTCGGATTACCAAGAATGCCCTTTTTTCGGGTTTGAGACTTCACGGGGGCTTCTTATGTAAGTATAACCTTGACAAATATAAACTGAATATGCTAAAACGGTGAACTCCTTTAGGGCACGCTGTTTTGATCCCATCAACACCGCGGCACGCGGCGCATTCTGAAGATCTGAACGGACAGCTGGTATTTTAAAAATACCACAAACTTTTACGGAAGTTATTCATTTTAGGAGATGAACACACGTCTACTCAAAACTCTTCATAGAAGATGCTGCTGCAGTGAAGCAGCCGCGCTGGGCCTCGGGGCTGCGGAGCTCAACACTAAAGAGCACGCCGGGGCCGGGGGTCCAGACCGGGGATCCGGGCCGAGACCGGGGGTCCAGACCGGGGATCCGGGCCGGGGGTCCGGACCGGGACTGGGGTCCAGCCCGGGGCCCACGCCGGGTCGTGCGGGCCGAGGGTCGCGCTGCACCGGCCGGGACGCAGAAGGGGGCAGCGCTCTGGGCCCGTTACACACAACGGCCGGCACTTACCGACGAGCGGCTTGTCTCGCAGCCTGGCAGCGGGCCGGGGCGGGGGTGACAACGAGAGGGCAGGCAATGGAGACGCTGCTGTTCTCAGGGCCTAACCGATCTATCCCGCATTTCCCTCGCTCAACAGCGGACCCCAGGTCACGCGACCCTAAAATCTCAAACCTCCGCAGCTACTTTTCTCTTCCCGCCAGAACCGCTGCCCGCCAACCCTCTTCCAACTCTAGGGTCCTAGCAACGCCCCTTCCCCGCCCCATCCTCGCGCGCGAGAAAGAGGCTGCTCCAGATCTCGCGAGAGCCCCCTCCCTCAGCTAGTGGAGTGCACGGACGAGACAGGAGGAGGACGCGCCTGGCAAAGCACTGCGGACGCCATTACCCCTTTTTCCCTGGCGCACCGATCTCAGCGTTAGCCGGTTTTCCGCTCCTTCGCTGTCAATAGGTAATTGGAGGCGTTGGGTATTATGTGTTCAGGCAGGGGTTCAGCCTTTTGGGCAGGCTACGTTTACTGTTTTCAAGCCCCGTTTTCGTCCGGCCCTTAGCGGCCTCATCCCGAAGGGCGGTGCCGGCGAGAGGCGGGTCCTTCTCCTCAGCGCTTTGATTGACGCGGCCCTGGGCCAGTCCCTGCGCCCTCGCGCCACTGCCGAAGCCCGGACAGCCAACCAGGGACGACGGCGGGGTAGTCGAGCCGAGAGGGCGCAGCACGGGGAGGGCAGTGGGGCCTTGCGCTCGTTCTCTGTCTCTGAGAACAGCTGTGGCGGCGGAGGGGCAGCGGCCTCGCGCGGTAAGGAGCCGGGCCGGGTGGGCTCCTGGGAAGGCGAGCCCGGGAAGCGCGTTTTTCCGACTGAGGTCGGCCGTTGTGGGGGTGCCGAGTGGTTGGCCGGCGCCCGGGAACGGTGCCTGGCTTCCCCTCCCCCACCGCCGCCATTTCCCTGAACGTCCGTTTGCAGTCGGCGTTGTGTGGGAGCCTAGCGGGGATTAAGGGGCGGGCTCGAGAGAGCGAGGCGTCCGTCGTTCGACAGTTTTGGGGGGGGGCCGCCGCCGCC